TTGCACGAAACCCCTATTTATCCGAGTAACGCGCGTCATTTTCCAATTAGTTGTGCCGAAAGAAAAACAACCGTTAATCAGGGATGCACGCTTAGTTACTTGGTATGTTGCTATAGATATCTGCCGACACATTTACGCAAGTTGGAGAACTGAAGGAGGCAATATGTGACGCAGTGGAAAAGAATAACATACATTTACTTGTCCTTGGCAGTCATGGCCGCAAAGCTTTACAGAGGTGGTTATTGTTATTAGTACTTTTACTATTACTTATGAATTTATAGCTTTTTTTTTTCTTATGATTGATTGATATATGTTTCTTTCTTTTTGAGTTATTTCAATAGGACGTTTCTTGGAAGTGTTAGCAATTATTGCGTCTACAAAGCTAAATGCCCTGTTCTTGTCGTGAGGAAATAGGAGTAAGACTCTTTCTACTCCATAAGGAGCCGATCAACGGACCAATTCAAATAGTATGAATCTTCAGTTTCCAGCTCGTTGAGAGTGCTCTGGCTATATATGGTATCATGTGATGTTAACATTTGTTTCTTGTTTTATTTCTTGAATTTCCAGTTTGTTATAAGTGGCAGCTATTTTGGTATGAAAAAACATAAAAACTATCGGTGTGTAATGTAAGTTATTGCTACTTTTTTCTTATGGTGTTTTTCCAGCTCTTTTCATCTCAAGAAAATGTGATTGATTAAACAATATAACAACTCTGTCATGCAAAAGGATACTTATCCACAATAAAACTTTGCCAACAAGAGATTTATCAGTTAGTAGTCTTCCCAACATGGTCAAGCTCGATCTACTGGACAAGCTCAACGCGGAGGTCCATTTAGATGCACACTAGCGCGTAGGGTATCCTTGTTTGTTTGGCCTTGGTGTCATCAACCTCGATCGAATTACCGATACAGCTGGCAATCGAAAAAAGCACAGTAGGGTCATAAAGATGTGGGAGGAGGCCATGGAGGCGACACCAGACTGTGGCGATAGGTGCCACCGTTGAGGAAGAGAAGTCAGGGGTGTACTTAAACATCAGAGCAGTGCACCCATAGACGTTTGTTGTCGTCTTGAACCACGCCACATTATAGTCGTTCATAAGCTAAAAAAAGACTAGGTAATGATTGAAATTATAGTACTTGGGCGTGAACTTACCATTATACCCTAATTTCCCTAATCCCGGAATGAAATCTCAGAGGTTGGGGACAATAAGAGAACTTAAATATCATGGCATTGTCATACGGCTCGACAAGAGAAGAGATATCGGGCTCAGAGGACTTACCATGAACCTTCCCTCCTCAGAGCGTGAAATGGACCCACGAGGGTTGTCCCGAGATTTCTCGAAAGTGAATCTCCGTTGTCTCAGCTTGTCGGCGGATTAGCCAGTGATGACATCCTAAATAGAATGCGACCGCGGGAAGTGTTGGATGTCAACGAGAAGAGGCCCGGTTGAAGGAGACGACCGACCCTAAGGATTCTGACCGACAAAACTTACCTGCCGAGGGGTTGAGAGTCACCAGCACTGGTGCCGGAGCTAGGGTCGCTGGTCGTCGACGAGGTGGAGGCAACGACCATCAGCAGGGCCGCAGAGGTGGCAATCGCCAGTGTAGCTGAGCTGTTGCAGATGGAGCAAATGAGATGGGTTGCAGATAAGAGGGATACAAGTGCTGGTGAGAGAGACTGTGGGTGAGAGCAGGTGTGTTGGGTGGGTTTGCTGGAAAGGGCTGGGGGAAAGTGGCTCTGAAAAGCCTAGGGAAATGGGTTTGCTGGAAAGGGCTGGGAGAAAGTGGCTCTGAAAAGAAAGGCCTAGGGAAAAGTGAAGGCGGGTAGAGAGAAGTGGGATCATGGGGTCCATGGCCTGGACCAAGAAAGGCCCAATAGGAGGGGTGAAGGCCCCAGACGTTTGCAAATGGGGCGAGTACCAGCCCGACATTGCGCATTAGTGATGAGGCCCAGGTGGAAAAGGCCCAAGAAAAGAGAGTCCTGAATAAGCCCCCAGATCCATGGCTCGTTGACCTGTCTCTATCCAGTGGCTTAGGAAGAGCCACGTCAGTGGCTTTTATAGGGCTTCCTCTCCCCAACATGTCGCCACAACTTAAAGCATTCATAATGGAAAAAAATTTTATAGCTAACTGAGACAAGATACAGTCTAAGACCGAGAAAAATTATGGTGAAATCGCGACCGAACCAAACACCAGCTGGCCGGCGAGCTCAGAATCGAGGTTCTCAACGTTGGCTATCATGGCCTTCGGCCGATCAATCTGGGGCGGTGAGGTGCATGGAAGAAAGGCCTCTATTCGACATTGGAGACCAGTCGTTACCAGACTGAAAGAACTAAGCTCCGAGTCATCCGGGACGCGAGAAGCAAACAAGGCGATGGCCTAAGCAACCAGCTCCACGCCAGATGTCGATGTGAAACCCCCACCCATCGGACCTGAGGTAGGGGGCCTCCGGAGGGTTTTGTCCATCTTTTTCTGCATTTTTTCTTTGTTTTGTAATTTCTATCCCTGGGTGCATGGGGCCGAAAAAAGTCTTAACCTGAAACATGGCCATGGTAGCGCTCGAAAGAGCTGTGTCTGTCGAGGACAAGGGGTGAAGCTCTGACCTTGCCAGGTTCAGGGACGAGACAGTCGGGCACTGTGGAACAACCGTCGAAAACTGGGAATGAGTCGCCGGAAAAGCCGGAAAAGACAATAGCAGAAAGAGAAAAAATAAAATTAAAAATAAAAATAAAAACGAAGGCTAAAAACTGGAACCGAAAAGGGCAGTCAGAGACCAACTGTCGGCGGCAACGGCCGGCTGAACGCCTAACGACTCTAAAAAACCGATGACGTGAAAAATAAAAAGGAAACAAGAGGAAATAAGGAAGAGAAAGAACTAGAGAGAAGGAGGAGAAAAAATCTATAGAGAGAGGGAGCATCTCAGATTGGATAAAGTGCTGCATGTAAACTATTCAACTTACATATTAATCTTAAAATATATGAATCTTGGTTGATTATAACAATTAATTGGTAAATACAATATTGAAATTATTATTATAGCAATTGTGTACAAAATTTTAAAGGGGGTTAGATTATACAATTAAAAAAAATTAAAAAAAAAACTTTCTTTAAGATGTTAAATAATAATAATAATAATAATTTTTAAATAAATAGTTGAGAAAAGCTTTATAATAAAATAACATTTAATGTGATTTTATTATTAGTTGATAGTAGCAATTATATAATCAATTGCTCTAGTGTCACTTGTTCACGTACCATTTCTAGTCTTAGAAGTTCCAGTAAGAGCTGTAAGGCGTCAGGTCAGAGGGACCGAAAGCAGAGGACAAGATACATAGTAAAATAAGGCTCCTTTCTTCCCTCTCTTTTCTTCACGTCACTTCGCTTCATTCTTACACTTCATTTCGTTCGAATACATTGACCTGCGTTTTTTTGTGTAAGGTCTTTCTTTTATGGTGAGTTCATAGCCGGCCTTACTAAATGCATAAGCGCAGTGCCTTTCTATTACTTCAGTTCGCTTCGCTTCGTTTGTACCTTTTCTTCTGACTTTTGCAGTAATCTTAGCTATTTATGAAAATGCAACTCAAATAGGTGGGAAAATAAAAAAACATTATTAAATTCTTTGCGAGCAGTTATATATATATATATGTGTGTGTGTGTGTGTGTGTGTGTGTGTGTGTGTGTGTGTGTGTG